GGTTTAGCTCATCGGTTGATATTTGGTCATTCCGACGAAGTGATTTCCTGCCGGCGGGAAGCTGTACGTACATCGCAGGTGTCCTTCCGGCTCTCGGCGGCGCACATCATGTTGTCCGTGAATTTGTCTCCGTAGTAGTCGCTGCGGCCACACAGGCGCCGGCTCAGGACCTTGACGTCCACCTGCTGCAGCTTGTCCGGCCGGAAGCCGATGTTGCTGGTGGCGCCCCAGCCGGCGATGCTGCACTCCTCCCCTTCCTGCACGTAGCCCCCGCCGCGCTGGAACGCGATGGGCTTCACCGCGCTGCTCTCCGTGGCCGTGCCGTCCAGCTGAAAGCACAGCGCGCAGCCCTGAGATCTGAACCCTGAACCCTGAGCCCCCTGAGCTCTGAGCCCCCTGAACCCTGAGCCCTGAGCCCTGAACCTGAACCCTGAGCCCCCTGAACCCTGACCCCTGAACCCTGACCCCTGAGCCCTGAGCCCCCTGAGCTCCGAGCCCCCTGAACCCTGAACCTGAACCCTGAGCCCCTGAACCCTGAGCCCCCTGAGCTCTGAGCCCCCTGAACCCTTGACTCCTGAGCCTTGAACCTGAACCCTGAGCCCCCTGAACCCTGAACCCTGAGCCTGAGCCCTGAGCCCTGAGCCCTGAGCCCCCTGAACCCTGAGCCCTGAGCCCTGAACCTGAACCCTGAGCCCTGAGCCCTGAGCCCTGAGCCCTGAGCACCCTGAGCCCCCTAAACCCTGAGTCCTTAGTCCTGAACCCTGAACCCCTGAGCCCTGAGAGTCCTGAGTCATGAGCTCCCTGAACCCTGAACCCTGAGTCCTGAGTCCTAAGGAGCCCCTGCAGGAGCTGGCCTCAAAGGGGAAGGCCACTGTGCTGCTGTAAACAGTGTCCAGTTTCACCATGCACAGACCGTTGACACTCAACATCCTGTTGTTACTTCCCCTGCACTGTTTCACTAAACAGAATTTAGACTTGTTCCACCATCCCTCCCTGCAAACCTGTCTGACCCCCCCCCATACTCCCTCTCGCTCCTCCACCCCCGTGAGCGCTCTCCAAACCCTCCCAGGCAGCGACTCGCCCACCCCATGTCTGCACATCTGTACAGCAACATCTGGATGAGATATCCCTGGCTGGTACTTCCCTGGACTTTCTGTCCTTCCTCTTCCTCTTCATTCTTAATCTTAATCATAAACCTGATCATAAATTTAAACTTAATCTTCTGCCATCCAGCTTCAGGGATTCCTCTGCCAGCAGTATGTCATATAGGGATCAATGATCACAAGATGCACAAGGAAAAACTGAATGAGCTCACTCCGGATCACTTCTGAGTTACAGGGAAAGTACTACATAATTACATAACTGACATAATGACATCAGAAAGGACAGAAAATGAGACAAGGCCATTTGGTTAATTAGTTAATGATTACTGGCTAATTGATCCAAGGATTTACATCCAGACATTTCTTGAAAGAAGCCAGGGTAACAGCTTCAACAACATGGCTAAGTAACTTGTTTCATACACCCACCAGCCTTTGTGTAAAAACATGCCTGCTGTTAGCAGGTTAAAATGCACTTCCATGTAATTTTCACCCCTGTCCTTTAGACGTCTAAACATCTTGTTTTCTGAAGACGTCCGATGGGACAGCTCTTTCAGGATT